AATTTCAAAGTTATAGCATGAAAACTAAAACAAGCACAAGATGGTTATGAAGATTTCGTATGTGAAATTTGAAAATTTTCTGATGCATAAAAGTATTTTTAACCACTGCACATGTACACAAACACACCACTGATATGTACTGTCATTCATACTCATAGTTTGTATTGACCTAGAGAGAGGCACAGCTATTGTTATTCTGTTTTGTACTGATCAAACCTTTCATAAAATTTGGTTTGCAGTTATTATTATTATGCTCTGTTTAATTTGTAAATTTTCCCACTTTTCTCATGGTAGAAAGGCCTTTCATATTTCCTAGACTTGATTAGATATGTCTGTCTAACATTAGCCTTAGGTGTATACGTGTGTATTAGAAATGGGGTCAGTGTATCAACTGTGACAATTAACAATAAAGATTCAGAGTTTGATTTTGTAAATTTGATCATTTACTTCTTACTGAAGGTTTATCAGTAAGAAGTTGAGACAGTCATGTTAGTTTTATTGTCATAAGCATCTATACTAGAAATTAATCTCTTTAAATATTCGTGTTATAGGCATGCATTTTCATTGCAAATTTCCTCCCGCCCTTATATATGCATACAAACATTGTGCAATACAATATGTGGCAATGTAACTAACTGAGCTGTATACACTGTACTGTGTTACCACACATAGCCATTCATGTTCAGTTGAACTCCATACAAATTTTACATGCATAAAGCAGCACAGAGGTGCAGCTTATCCACGACAGAAAGTTTAGTGACTAGAACAGCATTACTAGTCAATCAAGCCATTTCTCTTGTCCAAAGAACAGTCTTTTTTTAAACACAAAAATGGACCAAAACATATTTTGTGAGGTTCAAATTTTCGAGTTTGTAGTTAAGGAATTTACCAATGATTTTGGTCAAGGTTCAGAATCAACATTACATGTGTAGAGTGGGCATGGATAAATGTACAGTAGACTGTGCTGCTGTTTTGAGTAAGGGTCTCTTCCGGGGCACTAGTCATCTGTCAGACAACATGGGGGGTTTAATTTGGTCTTCTGAGGAAGTTTTTAGTCATTTTGGATGGCTGTTAAAATGGAGCCCTGTCATTATCTCTGAAGTTGTTGATGTAGTCTCTACCCTTTTCCCTATCAAGTATGTCTAAGATCTGAAAGGGGAAGATATGAATAGTTCCAGTCATCAAACACTTAATGAAGCAAGAATGTTAAAAATAGGTCTATTTATTGGAACACCTATCGAATACTTATATTTACCACATGTCAATCAGGATTCCCATACTTTCAGTTAAAAAAAATTCAAGAATATAATCTAATTTTTCAAGAATATTTTCATGAATTTCAAAACTATTTCACAGTTTTTCTTAGGGTTTCTAGCATAACATAACTCAAGTTATACAAACTTATATGATAGAAATATCTTGTGAATTATTTGGAAAATTTATACATAGGTTGATGACATATGTTATGCAATCATCCAATGGTACACAATGTTGCACCCTAAGCTAAATAATTCACAAAATATTGTTTCTGTAATTACATTTTATATAGTCATCAAAAAGTAATACTGATCAATTATTAACTAGGTATTCTATAATAAAACAAAAACATCACAAACAAAATGAACTTTAATATAAATGATAACCTTAAATCTTATTGTGTTTGTCAGAGATTGTGCACAGAATAATTGAATTAATACAGTACTAACCTTGAGTATATTCAGAAGTACCATCCAGAGGATCTACCCAGACAACAACCTAAAATGAAAAAGTGTTAGTATTATAAGTGAAACCTACAAGCACATTAAAAAAAATATCATTGAGTGATTAGCAAAATGCAAAGCAGAACTTTTATTTTTGTAAACTGCCTACTTTACTGTCCTCTGTGGCACAGGAAGATTTTATATAAACCATAAAAAAATTCAATGTATTGTCTGTTCCCTTTATATAAAGTAGGTAGTTATTCTAGACAGAGCTTTATGTTAACCTTTAAAGCCACCAGTGGGCTAGTGACTATTAATAGGTAACTGGCCAAGGGATTTTCACACACACTTTTTTTTACTAATAAAACAATATGTAAGCAACACACATATTTATTGTATATTTCCTTGCAAAAATTAATTAGCAAATACTGTGAAACCCAAGACTCTTATGGTTTCTGCGGAAGTCATTAAAAAGTTACAAATTTCCAATTTCTAAATAAAACACAACATATAACCATTATTATAAGTTTCAACTCTTTGATAAAAGTTATTAGATATTATAATTACAGACCACTTTGCAATGCAAAAGTCCTTAAAAAGTTAAGTGTAATTGTAGCTTACATGTCTAAAAAAATGAAATGTATAATGATCAAAAATAAAAACAAAAAGATGTTGTTACACCTCAACTTGATCAGATATATATGCTAAAACACAAGTTATTTATACACTGTATTTTTATCAAGACTTATAAGCTAAAATTTTACCTATAAAACCTGGAACCCCTAAATATTGCAAGTAATTACTATGTATATGCAAAGTAACTTTGGATTGGTATGATACTGGAATTGTAATCTTGTTTGGTTGTTTGTTTGCCATTGATTGGTGCAAAGCAACTAGGCTATCTGCACCAAACCACCAGTAAAAATTCCACAAGTAAAATACAAAAAATTTAAAAAGAAAACAAGTTAAAAAATGAAATAATGCCCAAAAATTAGGTAAAAATTTTAATAGAAGTAAAAAGGCTAATGACTCGCAAAAAGCTAAAAATACAATCAAGTTGGACAGTGTCACTATCGCCAATGACATTGTTTAATGTCAGGGGTAAACCCTTAGAAAATACTTTTCTAAAATGGTGCAGCTGCTCACATTCATAACAATGGCACAAAAGTAAAATGTGGGCAATTATGACCTGAGTGTCACAAGGGCCAAACATTTGTGGATGAGCCCCATGTAAAAGAAAATGATGGATTAAAAAACTGTGACCAATGCATAGCCTAGCCAAGAAAACTTCCTCCTGTTGATCTTTATGGAAACTAGACAGTCCATCAACAAGAGTAGGTTTGATCTGGAAAAGCTTATTATGAAGTTGCCCACCCCAAATAAACTGCCAATTGGTGCAAAGCCCAGCCTCAATCACATGACCATAGTCCCATATAGGGGACAGGCACGGTTGTGACAGCACCAGAGCAGGCAGACTTGGCTGCGGTGTCAGCATGCTCATTCCCTAGAATACTGATATGGCCAGGTATCCAGAAAAACTGGATAGAAATGTATGACAGAGAAAACTGAGCCAGTATTTTCCGAATGTCTTAGAGAACAGGGTGAGAACTGACATTAAGTAATTCCAGGGCTAGTAGAGAGCTAAGAGAGTTGGTGTAAATAGTAGAATTTGTGTACTGCTTAGCTTCTATGTGATCCAAGGCAAGAGAAATGGCATACAACTAGGCAGTGGACACAGAAATTGTAGAGAGGATTTTCAGAGCAACCACTGAGCTGCAACAAACCATGGTAGAGCCCACAGAGTCTCCTGATTTCGAACCACCAGTAAAAATCAGAACAGAGAAATGGTTAAAGAGATGTTTGCCAAAGAGAAGATGGTACTTCCAATAAGGAGTATTCACCTTCTTCAGATGACTTAAAAAAAATGTCATAGGTGGGGGTGGTAAAGAGCCATGGAGAAATGGTCTGGTCATTGGATTCAGCAACACCAACCAATGACAGACCCAATTCAGCCAAATGTGCCTGGATATGAAGGCCAAACAGAAGAATAGCTGACTGCTGTTTCCAAAAGAGCAAAGCCTACCGAGGAAGGAAGAGAAACCCAGCTGGGATGCTATGGTAAGGATCAAAGCCTGGTAGCATAAAGCAAGGAAAGTTGCAAATGTCTGAGGTGAAAAGGAGGTTCATGGGACTCAGTGTACAAACTCTGGACTGGCAAAGTGTGGAAATTCCTTGTGCCGAGCCGATGACCCAGATGATTAATGGGGTTCAACATGTTCAAGGCAGAGGACCTGGCAGAACCAGAGACCCATTGTCCAATTTGGATCATATGAGAGCACGAAACATGGAGCATGGAACAACAGATGGAATAGAGGACACAAAGGATGTTCAGTGCCCTCATGTACTTGACACAATGCTGCTTAATGTGAGAAATGAAAGAAAGCTTACAGCCATAGATAAACCTCAAGAACTTTTTTGAGGAATCATGCAAAGAACAATGGAACTCAGGATCAGAGTGTAAAAACCACTGCTACCAAAATTTTACACAGACAGTTTTCAAAGAAGAGAAAGTAAAACTGTTTGCTGTGATCCACCACAACAAGCAAGTGAGAGAAGTCTGAAGTTGCCGCTCAATAAACCTCACATGAACAACCAACAAGAAATGTGGAAATCATCGACATAGAGGTAAGTTGCAACAGTAGGAAGAAATTGTTTAGTGATAGCATTGATCTTGATACCAAAAATGGTGATACTCAAGACAACCCTGAGGGACTTCAAGATCCTGTGAGAAAGAATGGGACAGGGTTGAACGCACATGGATTTGGAATTACCTGTCAAGTAAAAAGTTATGAATAAGAATGGGCAAATGGTCACACAACCCATAGGAGTGGAGAACCTACAAAATGCCAAACCTCCATGTTGTGTCATAAGCCTTCTCAAGATCAAAGAAGACAGAAACAAGATGCTCTCTCTTGAGGAATAACTCCCTGATTGAAATTGAGATGAATCAGGTGGTCCATGGTGGAATGCTCTCAATGAAAAACCATATTGGGTGGGCAAGAGGAGGTTGTTTGATTCAAGGAACCAAACAAGATGTGCATTAACTATCCTCTCCCAAACCTTACAGAGACAGCTAGTCAAAGCAATTGGATGATAATTAGAAGGAATCTTGGTATCCTTCCCAGGCTTTGAAAAAGGGAGAACAATAGCCTTGCACCAAGCATCAGGAAACACATTTTCCTGCCAAATCTGGTTAAAAATAACCAGAAGAGCAAGAGATGCAGGAGAGAGATGGCACAGCACCTCATAGTGAACCATCATCAGGTCTGACTGATGTACTGCCAGACTGATGAAGAGCAAGCTTAAGTTCCACCAGTGTAAATAGGTGATTATAATCATAGACATGATCTGCCTAAAAGGAAAGAGTTGATTTCTCAGCCTGAGACTTGCTGTCCAAGAAGGCAGAAGAAGAGACAGAAGTGCTAGAAAGTGGAATAATCACTCCCCAAGAGTGATGCTCTGTGCATCAGCAACTTCTTGGCCATTGAAAAGCAAGATGAAAAGGGGTGGGAAGCATAATTCCCATTGACCTTCTAAATCTTGTCCCAGATGACTTTGGAACTGGTAGTGAACTTAATTAAGAATCTTTCTGTCTTTGACATCTGACCTGCTAAGCATGGGACTGCTGGAAAGCAATGAGGTTGGAATGAGTGGGATACCTGCAAAAGATATCCCAGGCTTGTTTCTGAGCCTTCAGTGCCTCCTGGTAGGCAAGACCACCATGGACAAGGATACTGCCTCCATGCAGTCATTAACAGATAAAAGACTAATGACAGTAGGATCAAGTTCTGAGAGAGTGGTGAAGGAGAGTCAGTCAGCCTGCTCCAACGTCCACTGTGGCACACTGGTAAGGTGGCATCAACCACAGCTAATCACCCTCTAAATGATGGGAAAATGATCACTGCATCATGGATCACTATCAACCCTCCAAGAGAAATGAGAAAAAAGTGAAGGGGAATAGACAGATAGATCAATAGCAGTAAAAGACAAACTAGGTGCATTAAAACAAGTAAAAGAGTCAGTACTGAAGAATATAGGCCCCACAGAACAACCTTCCCATCAATATCAGCACCACTCCAGAGGGGATTGTGTCCATTAAAGTCCCCCAAGATGTAGAATGGAGACAGCAACTGGTCAGTAAAATCACCAAGGTCTGATTGATTGTAAGTCTCACCTGGAGACAGGTAAAGAGAACATACAGTGATGGTACAACCTATGGAGATACGAACAACCACAGGTTCAAGGAATGTATCAAGTGGCACAGACAAGGTAGGTACATGCTGGTCACACCTCCATGAACTCAACCATCACACAACTTATCATTCCTATACATGAGAAACTACTGAAAGGTGACAGTATCAGTAGGCTGAAAGAATGTTTCTTGCAAGGAAATACACACAGGATGATAGGAATTGATCAAGGCCTTATTATGATCCAAACTGGAATGAAAACCTCAACAGTTCCACTGTATCAAAGTGGACATTTTGATTCAGGTGGAGGAGAACTCTTCTCTTTGTGACCACGACAGTTGTGTTTAGTAGAAAGAGGTCTGTTTACCTCTAAGGAACCTGCCCTTGGAAGGTGTGACTGAATAATGATTCTACACCTTGGGGCTGAAAGAAATGGACCCGTGCAGTTAGTGGAAGCAATGGTTGGGACAGAGTCAGGAGTAGACATAGACTTGTCAACTCTGATAAAGGCACAGAAAGATCTGTCTGCACTCTTGATCTGCAAAGTACGGCAGCATATGTCCAAGATGGAACAGGGGACAACAATTTCCCAGCCTCTGGATAAGAAATGTTGTTTACAGTCCTTAAGTGAGGGCACACAGTGAGGGTCCAGGCAACACTTGAAGGTTTCATGGTCTTTGCCACCACAATGAGCACACATTAAAGAACCATGATAAGATGCTATAGAATGTCCGAACCGCTGACATTGAAAACCCTGGAGAAGGTTAGGAATATAAGGCAGTTCCTTACAGCTCAGATAACTTGCCTTTATAGTGGCAGGTGGATGTGGCAATGTAAACATCAATACATGAACACTTTAAGGCAGCATAATTCCATCTTTAGCGGGAGAAACCAGCAAGGATCTCTGACTCTGGGATATTTCTTAAATCCCTCTCAACAATCACTCCTTGAGAGGAGTTCAAAGTAGCATGGGGAGTAACCTTAATAGGGATATCCCCAATGGCCTCTGATTTCAGGAGGAATTTGCTGTATTTTGATGTAGATGTCCCCAGAACATAGCCTCTTAACTGACTTCGGAGAGCCAGCAAGCCCCTCTAATCCCTGTTGAATTAAAAAGGGAGACAGTTGCCCTAACAGTTTCTCAGACAGAAAATAAAGAATGAAAAAATAAGGTGCAGGAACAGAATAGGGTAGTGACTGCTGTTCAGAGTTTTCCAAACGTTGAGAACGTCAAACACTAGTACTTAGTTGACACTAGCTCAATAGGACCACTCGAAAGACCCTGGGGGAGCCAACCATCTATAGGAATTCAAGGCCAACATATTGTGTTAAAGTGATCCTCAACCATTAGGATCCTCTCCTGTTTCTCAGGATGCCACACATGGCAAACATGTGGGTAGGTGTTTGGAGGTACACTGAAGATACAGAACCTTTCCTGGGAGGTCCCCTCACCACATACAGGAATCCACCTAGAGGGGTTGTAATCTTCAAAAAACAACAAACTAAGTACTGTTCTGATGTTGATCTGCAGAGGAAAAAATAATAATGATTTTCTTGTTCGCTGTTAATTTACTTACTTTTCTGCTTTCAGAAATAAATCATTTGAGGGCAACAAACCAAATGTGGCATCTACAGTATGCATACATCAAAAAGTCAAAAATAAAGCAGATATTCAATATTAAGCCACTAGCCCTCCCTCAGACTAGTATGTCATATCACAAACTAGTTCAAATGCAATTCATACATATTCTGGGCTATTGTGCTGGAATTAATGTTGGACCATGCTAGTTTTGAAATATTTCCTATTTTTCTGGTATTTTATAAAAAAAAATTAATAATTATATATTTTTCATATTTTCTATGAAAGAAACAACCAAAAATGTACTTACTAGCATTCTACCAAACACTTAATGGATAATAAATAAATGCTGTTGAATTAGATGAAGCTTACATACTGGTGATATTTAAATTTATTTTATAAAATAAACAAGAAGAGGCAAATAAAAAAGACTGATTATGAAAGTTTTTTAGTTCAAAACATGAAATGTAAGCTGAAATTTTTATCTTTATGTAAATAACCTTTAAGTGAAATAATAATAATGGAAATACAGTGGATGAAATGAAGATCATTCATGTGTTCAAAAAAAAAAAGATATGTATTATCACAGAAAATGCATTTACAAACCTTTTAAATTTGTTAATCATGTGTGAAAGAAAATTCTATGAACTATACACATTCATTAAGAAGAAATTTTTTTGCAAAGGTGGATAAAGATATTGGTTTTGATTAGATCTATCCCAGTATTGTGAAGAAATAAAAAGATGAAAGTTTTAAAGGAAATCTTCCAAAAGTTGCTGGACAGTGTAGAAATTAACGATAACTTGAAAATTACTATTAAATGAGGTATTTCTTTTAAAGATATATGGGTTAAAAAAAAGTTTTAAAAGAAGATGGAATCTTTAATAGCTGTGGCACTTGAAGTTCTTTTTGGTATGATTAGAATAAAAGGTCTACTAGACCTTTTTTCCTTTTTTATTAGCTAAATTTTTGTGCACCACCAATGCCAAGCGTGGGATGTGCATATACTCGATTTCATTTTATTGCTCATCAAGATCTCTATCAGCCTGTCTTCAAGTTGAAATTCTTTAAGGCAGGATTAGAGTAAATTATTCTCTGATGGGCATGTTTGACTTCCTGAATCAAAACTGTAATTAGATCTCAAATCAGTCATGAGATGACGGAGCTATGAGCTTAATGTTTGTACTTGAAAAACTCGGAGCCATTCTATGAGCTGCTACGGCATGGCTAAAATTCCAGGTGAATTAGTTTAACTTTTTTGTAATAAAACTGACTGTTTTCACTAGTCTTGTTTGATAACATTCAAAGTTAACCCTTTCCATACAGGTCCTGGGTGAAAAGCTATGTAATCGTGTTTGTTGACTCACATTCAAAATTTTATTGAATTACTATTTCATGAATTTATTTCAATAAGTTTGGTATCATTACTAAATTTCTTAATGCAAAAGTAAATATTAAAAAACACAGTTAAACATCGATTTTTGTGTGTCACGTAGTATGTTGAATGCAGCACTGGTTCATATTAGATGTTTGTGAAGTCAAAGTACTAAGTATATAGTTTCATACAAATTAGAAACTCAAATTACAGATATTGACAAGCTAGAATATAAAATAAGGTCTTATCTTTTCTATTTGCTAAGATGTTGCTCATGTAATAAATCAAACACAGTGGCACCCCGCCCACCTCTTTCCATTTTTGGAAATGCTCCCATATATACACTTACTTCTATATATGACATGAATAACCAAATGGAAGCTCAGAATGTTTCCCTAGTGGCTTTCTCAGCCATTTTAACAGGTTTGGGTGCCATTTCTTTCTTTTGAACCAATATTTCAAGGAGGTAGGTTGTGTTTTTAGTCTGCTTGAAATTTCATATTTTTTTTAGACTGAAATACAGCCTAGTTACTAAGCTTGATATATTATAGTGGAATTCTATGGTATTTATATAGTAATTTACTATTTTTTGGTTATTCAACTGTATATATAAAACCTAAAACAAATTATTTCATTTCATATCCCCCATGTGCAAATTACTTAAAGGCTTAGCAACCAAGTACAAAGGTGCTAACTAGAAGAGATAATTGTTTGCTTCACTTTTTTATTTACTGTTCTATGTTTTAAGACAAATAAGTTTAAGAACTTATTTCTAAATGCCAATAATCTATATACATAT